ACCCGGTGGAGGTTAGAATCTGGTTTGGTTTGGTGATGGAAGATCTTTCTCCACTTTTATCTTCTCAGGTGTAAATGTTTGTGGCTTCAGGTGGAGACGCGCAGCCGTTAGCATGATCAAATTCCAACCTGCCAGACCGGCCGCGCGTTTGAAAGATGCAACCGAGACGCCTATTGTTAATTGAATTGCCGTTTCACAGCTTCGGCGTTGCACGTGGGCGATAGCCGCGTGTTTTCTGCACAGCGCGGATCATGACGGCGCTCATTTCATGCCATTTCGAGCGACGGGGAGCGACTCAGAAACATAAATAGATTCACTCACGAGATGATTGAAAACGCTGACACTTGACTTTCTCGAGTGTTTGCGAAACGAGAGCGGCTTTAAAGGTGAATCACGCACAAAATTGCTATCGCGGTGCCTGATAAAAGTCCTGTGTTCTGTTCTAGTAAACACTCGGGTGTAGTTTTGATTGTCTGGGTTCATCCCGACATGCTCGGATCGGCGTGCGCTTCATGTGATGGAGGGTTTACTGATGATAAAGTGTCTTTTAAATTCCCTGCACTTGCAAAAAGGGAACATGAGGCATCTTTAAACAGACGAAGCACCGAGTCAGTCAGGATTTGTTGGTGCAGTGAAGCTTTAAACACCGAGGAGCATCGTGTTGGAAGGATGAAGGTGCAGAAACATACAGATGAAGGAGTCGTTTCTTTGGGGGTTGTTGTGATGTTGCTGAAATGGAGTTTGTGTTTGTGTTTTGCTGGAAGGGCTGGACCCTGAAGTGCACGTTTGTAGGCGCAACCTGTAATGAACATTTTTTTCCAGGTTATTTGACGTTTTTTAATCATTTAGACGTTCTTCAGCCCAAGCAGTTAATCAAGAAACTCACTAAAAGATTAACAGATAATAAAAATAGTTGCATTTTAACAGCACGATTTAAATTAGGTGGATTCTGGTTGGCACATCCTGAAGACGAAGCCCAGCTGATGAGAATAACTAAAGACAAACCTGTATGTTGTATTGCTTGGTGTACCGATACTAGAGAAGCGGCATGATTCCTTGGTTTAAAGTTGTATTACTGCCGACACTGATTCTAAGAGCAGCATTTCCATTGATTAACATCCACAACAGGGCAGTTTGTGTGTTTGCAGCTTTGCCTCCTTGCAGACAAAGTGGGCGTGTCGAACTCTTTTCATAGCCTCGAGTCATGACTGCGACTCCGAGGGCTGATGCCAAAAGTCCACGGCTCGTAGAAAAGGCAGATGCACGAAGCGAATTGTGGAGCTACTCGCTCCAGACGGCGAGGGAAAGCCCACGGACGTCACTGAGCAAACCCAAGGAGTCAACAAATCCGACTTGGACGTGTAGGATTGTACAAAGACTTCGAAGAGCGACAGGATAGCGAATGCCATAAATAATAGACGTATTTCCTCCACTTAAGTAGAAGTTAAACGAGTGTGATTCATTTTTATACCAAACAAAGGATAACGGTTTAACTTGGCTTAGTCTTATGAGCAAACTTTACAATCTGGCAAACATCTTCGTATGCAAACAGGGATTTACAGAAAGAGTTAAGGTGGGATTAAAAAAAAAATCCGACTCATCTCTGCAGGAATTTAACCTTTTCTTTACGCAGCAGTTTGACGTATAAAGGTGAAAAGAGTCGATCTTAATAACAGGGCTGGGTATTGGGAAGAACCTCACAATTCAGTTTTGATTTGATTCCATATTGATTTAAACACTTTGATGTCGATTCAGTACCTGTTGATAATTTCAAAATAACCAATCAACTCATAACTTCAGCGACTCCAAAGCCGATGTCTTTACCTCGGTGTACACCTTCGGGGCGGTGATTTCAGTCATACGTTTGCGTGTTGGTATCGTGGTTTGAGTGTGTGCAGCATCTTCGTAAAACCGTTACGGTCTTAGGTCCTTGCAGATGAAGACAGCCACAGACTCCGTTATCTTGTCCGACTTAACGATGCCGCTACTTGCTTCCATGTTGTGTATTGCCATGTCATACATATTGCCATGCATTGATGAATCGGTATTTTTACCCTCCCCTACTTAGTGAGGAGTTCTTTGGATTCTGCTCGGATATGAAACTGCAGTTGTTTTATAGTTTGTTTTGGCATTGTTGACCACTTTGGGTTGACATTATGGAAATATTTTCAGTTTTAACTGCTAAAGGAAGCCAGAAAATGTAAAGTTTCGTGTACCTCTATTGTTGTTCGTTATTTTAGGTTTTTGCCATGGCATCGTTTCAGAATTGACATGTAAGCAGATATCGTGACAACTCAACCTGCACATATACATTTCGATAACTGCGCTAAAAACTTCCATTACCTACGGGCCAGTGGGAACTTCCTCCACCTTCTAGTCGGCTCAGCGGGCGCCTTATCATCTGTTCTGATCAGTAAGCCCAATAACGTCATAGGTGGAGCTTTGCAATCTCTGATAGGGTGAATTTAAGATGCTTTTAAAGTCGTAAACTCAACCAAACATCGAGCGAAAAAGAACGCGTGCAGGAAAAAGTCAAAAATAATCTCGACTTCTTCCCCTTCATGCCTCCAACTGCTGACTTGTGTTCCTCTTTGTAAAAGTACGTTTTAGTAAGAAGTGTAAGTCCAAGAATGTGGTAGAGGTAGTGATGATTAGGGCTGGTCGGAATAGCAATTTCTGTTCTCCGGATATTCGGCCCCAGTTAATGACGGATATCCCAAATATTTGGGGGTGCCGCGTGGATGGTGGCGGGTAGGTATTCTTTCCGGGGGGACGGGGTGCTGAGCATTCGGTCCAACGGGGCAGCAGTGAGCGGGCATATAGAACAAATAGTCGGCTATTTGCGTCCAGCCCCAGTGAGAATATCCAAATGAGGTGTCCGTTGCTTTACTTATCACGATACCGCCATGAACCAGGCGTAAAGTGGCACTAGAGGGGATTCTGACTGAGTTTCAGTCGTGTTTTTACAGAGCAAAGAAGCTGAATAAGTTGTCGTTCTCTCCGGTCTCGTCCACCTCCACCTCCCCACCGGCAGAACTGCTGCACGAGTGTTTCTGCACAACGTTCCCGGAGCGTTGTGGAAAATGTTCAGTTCGGGTTAATTTGTTGTTGCTGGTTTCGCTGCAGGTTAAAACCAACGTTTCCACTTAAACTCAGTGAAAGTTCTGCAGCGGTGTCTTGCTTTTTTTTTTGAAAACGCTAGTGATTTACAACCGAATGTAGTACAAAAAAACCCCAACAGAAAGTGCACTTTTGATTATCGGAGCCAGAAAATCATAATCTGTGCTGTGTTTTTCAGTCGGGCAACCGGAGGTTACCTTGGCTCACCTACTACCGCCGCTCTCCCTAAATGAATAACATCACTCACGGAGCAGTTTCCGTCCCGACTCCTGCTGCGAGTATCAAGGCTGTCCAGCCATTAATCACCACGCAACTGTTTTAGACCGTGCAGGCAATAGCGGTCGGTGGAAATGTGCTATTTCAGTGTCGAACTCGGTTAATTAACACAGTTTTTGTGTGCCGAGTGTTTCCGGCGTGTTGGAATCTGCACTCGAAACTGACTAATGCATTGATTTATTGACATCGTCTGATTAAACGCACATTGAGAGAAGATGTTCTGTACGGTTTAAGATCGGCTAGTTCATCTTTATCAGACGCCAAATATCAGAATTGGTGTTAAAGATCCTGTGTTTGTTTTTGTGTGCAGATCTGCTCGTCAGATTGCTTCGGCTGCCTGTTCAGAGAAAGATTAGACTGACGGATGATTAATAGATTTCCCTTTTTTTTTCTTCAGTTTCCCTTTGCAGGATAAAAAAAAAAGAGAAACAGCAGCAGGTACCACCTGATAATACTGTATTGACAGCACATATTGATGAATTGTCACATTTTTTTTTTCCTCACTGTGGCTCATTTCTCTGTACTCGTATGAAAGCAGAGCAACTATGACTAGAAGGAGAGAGAACTCAGAAATGTCTTTTTCTTTGCAGTTATAATGCCATAAATCATAAAAAAGGAAGCGTTTATTTGACAAAAATGGTGAAAAGAAACCGTGAGCAGCATTAAAGCGTCCACAGGTGTAGCAATACTGGAAAGACTACTGTAGATATTTCAATAATTGCATCTTTTTTATTTTATTTACATACTTTTCTCCTTTGCAGTTCAATCCAGTACGTACGAAAAAGTCCCCGAATTTTTGACAAGCGACTGTTGGTCCCGGTGGATTCGTTAACGGCTTCTTGGTTGCGTTTCTGAGCGCAGAATTTTTAGATTTTTTTACAGATTACAGTTTAGTTCTGGTAAATTTAGATTTTGGTTGAATGTCACAATTTTAAGCTGAAATTTGGTTCTCGACTGAACAGACGAGTTGGAAAGTTGTTGGCTTCTGGTTAAAAAAAAAAAAGGGATAAATGGTGTAATTTTGGCAGTTTTTGAGAGAATTTCGAGGTGTCTTTTACGATAGGAAAGCTTTCTTTTTGTGTTTCAGCTTCAAGTCTGTTTGGTGCAAAATTACGGGCAAAAACGAGATCCACAGAAAAGCCAAATTTCCCCTCGTAAACACCAAGTAAGATAATTAGTCCCTGTCAGCATGAAGACAGACAAGCTTGAAGATGCAATTTCCATCCACGTTAGCGCTGTCCTGCCATTTGGTTGTCGAACTAAATAGAAGGGATGATTTTGTCTTGTCATACGTTCCATGAGTTCAACTCCATTAGCTGAAATAACGGGAACACACCCCGAAATGTCGACACTGAAAAATCACTTTTACCTTCAGCCTTGTTTCAGGTCCTTCGATGACTTTTCAAACAACAGAACAAACCTTTAACATCTGTACTGCTCATGTCTGCGTCGTCCTTTCACTGCTTCCTACTTGGATTATCATCATGAATATGTTTGTTTCCGGCATATTTCACTGTTTCTCGGTTTGGCTTCTCGCAGCTGTTTTGTTTGTTTTTGTGTGCGCCTCTGGAAGTAATGTGAATTATGTCCTTTTCTGTTAACAGATGCAGTGAAGGGATAGAAGATGAAAATACTCAAGAAGGACAAGCAGCAGGTTCGTACTGTTGAAACACACACACACAGAAAAACCAGAAACCCTCACGGACGCTAAATGAAACGGCTTCAATCTGGGCGTTTATCACGTCAATGTTTGGGCTTTAATTTGGCGATGCTTCCTCTGGTCTGCGCTGCTGCTCACACACACGAGTGGAGGATGCTGTCGTAGCATTTGGCTGCACAAAATTATGTCTGGATTATTTATAACGAGACGGGAGGCTGGAACGGAGGCGATTCTGGGTCGACTTCGACATGTGAACGTTGATATGGGGTTTAAAATAACGTTGTGATTGTTTACGTTCAGATTTATGGAGCTCTTGTGTGTTTGTTCTGAAACATTTGACATTTGTGGTGTTTTCGAGTTTTATTCTGAACTTTTAAACATTTGTTTTAAATGCATGTCTCTGACGTCATCAGTTAGCCAGTTAACGTTTCTCCCTTTTATTTGACGTTTTTTAGAAATTTGATGGCACTTAGATATTCACACAATGGAAGAAAATAGTAGAATTTACATAATATATGAATACATATTTTTCTTTTATTGTTATTATTATTATTTTTTACAAAGGGTCCACATCGCAGTGTTTTGCCTTTGATTGACCTTTAATTATTTGCGGTTTTTCTAACTCTTAAGTGATCGGTAGTTTACGTTTGAGTTCTTTAGGATGGCATTGTTTATTCCTCTGACCTCCAAGTAGTTTCTGGGCTTTTTTCCTTTCGCTCCTGTCAATTTTTTAGTCACTGTGGGCTCATTTTTCACCGCAACATAAAGTCCTGCACCTCTATGGAACCAGAACAACCAGGACTACAAGTAGAAAGAACTCAGGAAAGTCTTCTGTGCAGAATAGTAAATTTAGAATGATGTAAATCACAAGAAAAAGAAAAGTAGAATTTCTTTAATATCTTTAACCCTCCTTGGGTTCAATTAGACCTCAGCAAGTTAAAGCTCCAGAAAATGATCAGAATTCAAATTGTCACCCAAGCTTATGTGTAAATAGCCCTCAAATTGACACAGGTGGGTTAAAAAATAAGTTGTTTAATTAAAGAAAATAAAGCAACAAGTGTGCACAGAAAAAAAAAGGGTTTTTTCCATACTGTAGATTTTTTTTTTTTTTTTTAACATTTTATCTAAATAATTAATTTCCATCTGCTCTGTGTAAACGCCTCCTGCTGTTCAGCTGAAAAGTCTACGAAATTTTGCCACGTGACTGTTGCTCGCAGCTGATTCATTCATTTGTTCACGGTTGTGCGAAGGAGTGCAGAATTTTTTGTTTTTTACAGAATCTGGTTCGAGAAACTGGTCTGTTTTTAGCAAATTTTTAAATAATAAAGCGACTTTAATGAACTGTCACGATTTTAAGCTTTGATTTGATTCAAGCAAAAGTCACACGTGATACATTCAAGGACTGTTTTGGGGTTTATCAATCAATCAAGTTTTATTTATATATCACTTTTCATGTGCAACAACAACAACGCAAAGTGCTTTACAACATTTAAAAACAACAAAACATTTAAAAACATTACAACATTTAAAAAATAAAGTAAACCCGTCCCTCCCACCCTCCATGCATACACATACAACAAATGCAGTCGCGTTTAAAGGGTTAAAACATCTTAATTACATGCGTCGGTAGCAAAAGAACAAACCTCCAAGATCCATACCAGCAGATCAGCGTTCACTCACCTGAGCGGCTTCACTCCAGGTGTTTCCGAACCTTCCAGCTCACGTCGTCGCGGCGTTCTCGGTTCCTCCGGCGCTGCGTTGGGACGGCGGCTCGCTGTTTGTAATATTCATGAGTGGAGCCGAGCAGAGTGATGAGTCAGAGTTTTCCTAAGCGTGAGGTGACACAGCAGTCTCTCGGCTGGCCGGCCGCGAGGCCTCCGTGCTGCAGCGACCGGCTGCCAGCGCCACGCCATCATTCACTCCTTCACTCGGCCGCTTATTAGATTTTCGCTCGTAGTCATTTTAATCAAAGACGGTATCGGCTAAATGTAGCCCCCTTTTCTCTTTTAAACACACATTTGCTGAAATAATCCACAATATTTGACTGTAAACTACAACATAACAGCGAATCAAGGTGCTCTGCTGCAGATTTTAACATCTTCACAAAGCCGCCTTGTGTCACAAACAAGAACAAAACCCACAAAGAACGCTTATCTAACACATTTTCTCCCCTCAACAAACGGCACATTTGTACAAGCGGAGCACATGATGTATTTATTATTTTTTTTATTCTCTGCTCTGGTGTGTGCGACTCGACAGACTCTGCGCTTGTCGGCGACAGTTGGTGAGATTTTAAAAAAGGATTCAAGGCGCCTGAAACTCGCGCTCCGGTTCGGTTTCTCCACAGCTGGTGCGTCTTTCGGGTTGGCGGGTTGAAACGGCGCCGTAGATGTGAGACGTGGTCTAAAGGAAAGTTTTGCGCCGGATCTCTGTGAGGTTTGTGATTCTTCCTCGCGGCGTTGGCGACTAATTTTAGCTTTAAAACAACAAGGAGATTTGTGTATTTGGAGGCTTGCTGTTTGACCCCCGACCAAGAACCAGAACAACCATGACTGGAAGTGGTCATAACTCATGTCTTCTGGGCAGAATGACACCGTTATAAAAAAAAAGTGAATTTATTTGACAGTTTATTTTACAAAAAATTTTAATTAACCTGAAATCAACATGTGCAACACTTCTTTAGATATTTTAATACTTTTTTTAAAATTTAATTTTCTGTGCTGCCTCTGTGCAAAAACTTCCTGCAGTTCAGAAAAGTCCCTGAATTTTTTGTCTCATGACTCTGAATTGAAGCTGAGACACCAGTGACTTCACGGTTGCAGCAAAGTAAGCAGAATTTTTTTATTTTGTACAAAATCTGTTTAGAACAAACTATTTTTGAGCAGATTTTATCGACCTCTCTTTTGTGCTGCATTAAAAAAATAAATAAAAAATGCCATAAACCAAAACAAACATTGACTTTTTTTGTGGCCAATTATAAGGCAGCAAGTGAATCAGATGGTTTAATTAAACCCATTTTGTTGTTAAATTTCACCAGAAAAACATCCAACTTAACTAAAAACAAACAGATTTGTACTTTTTTAACTTCATGATCCTCCTTGTTTGGTTGCTTATTTTGCTGAAATTGGAAAAAACCTGGGATTGTCCAACATTTTTCCAAGTAGAATCAGAATCTTGTAATGTTGTTATACCAAAAAACAAAGTACAACGAAATTGGGTGCAATCCCATTCAATCCCTATAAATTCTAAATAAACAACAAACAAATGGTGCAAGATAAAAAACAAGACGCTTGTAGAGCCTAGAGAGGTATAGAAAACAAAATAAAAATAAATGACAATAGGTATAAAATGGATACAAAAAATACTGGGGAAAAATGTTTGCTCTACATACATTTAAAAAAATAGAAATGTTTGCTCTGTGTAAACACTGGCTGCAGTTCAACCCAGTTCATCTTAAACTTCTCAGAATTTTTGTCACGTGACTGTTGATCGCAGCGGAGTCACTACAAGCTTCACATTTGCTTCAAGTAACTCAGAATATTCTGTTTTTAACACAATCTGGTCGTTGATGATAGTTTATTTTTGGAAAATATTTTTTGAAAAAGACACGTAGAATAAAGTGATTTTGATGAAATACTGCTTAAATAATTTTAAGCGTCGGTTTCCTTGGAAAACTCAAATCAACTCATCTCAAACTTTATTTATGGAGCACATTTAAAACAAAGTGCTGGACACATTAAAAGCAAAACAATCAATAAAATGCAGCAATTGCAATAAATAAATACTACTAAAATGCATAACACACTGCTATAAAATAAAATACAATTAACTGCAATTAAATTAAAATTGCAGAGTTACTAAATAAATTCAACTTTTTTTTTTTTTTTTAAGTTTTTTTAAGAGTCTAATTGAAGCAACTGTTTATTTTTGGCAAATATTTAAACAGAACATGTCGAATAAAGCGATTTTTAAGCTTAGATTTGATAAATCTATTGAAACAAACTATACGTCACCCACAGTTAGTTCGTACGGTATCGGAAAGCTGAAACTCCGATGATTATTTTTCTCATAATTGGTGCAGTTTGGGGTGTTTCCTGTTTGTCTTTCGGGAGTCAGAGGGTTAAGGTCGCCTGATTTAGACAAACAGCAGTTTTCCCGTTCGGCCTCTGGTTGAAGTCTCGTCGTGTTGATGACGGCCTCGCTGTGTTCACTGGTCTTCTGTACCGTCATTTTTCGAGGTCTTGATCAATAGCGTTCAGGTGACGTTGGGAGTGTGTGTGCTTGGACTTCACCATCATGATGGCTTCATTGATTATTTCCTCAATGCCGCGCGCTTCATTATCTTCGCAGGGGAAAGTCTGGAAACCTTTTCTCTTTAAACGCCTCCAGAGCCGCATCAAAACGTTTCAGATTAGAGCAAAGCCGAGCGGCTTGGAAAGGAACTCCAGTCTTCACCGGTTCAGCCTCTGCTTTGTAGGAGGTGTGAGGAAGGTGATGGGATTTCCATCGATGTGGCGGCGGTGTGCGTCCGGTATCTCGCCTTTCAAGTGGCCGTCGAATTACCCGCTTATCTGCCCGATGTATCGCCAAAACAACGATAATGTCGCCAGGCTGGATGTCTGTGTGTGGAAGCGTTTAAGGAAAGAGTGATGGCTTGTCTGTGTTGCTCAAAATGAGGAAAAATAAGTTTTTTTGCGTCCTAAAACCCCTCCAGAGGAAACCGCTTCGACGCTTTTGTGCAAAAAAACCTGCGCGACTAGTCGGCATTGTGTTGGTGACACTTTGGAGCGACACGGTTGACGGAAACGCGTTGTGCCGCGCAGTTTTCGGCAGGAAAACACTTGAAATAACACTAAATGTCGCCTGTGAAGTGTGATAGACATGACCCAAATACGGCTTTGTGCACCTGTTTTCTTTTTCCAATGTTTGTGCGAGGAGGCGGAGGCTGTTTCTGCTCCTCAGTCTGGATAAAAGGCAGATTTAGTGGAGACATT